ATCGCTATCGGGGTTTTGTTGCTCTCCTAACACAGGCAGTGCGTTGGCTCTGTCATCTCCCACTTACTCAGCTGCTGAGGAAAAGAAACAATAGATGAGAAACAGACAGCTGATAGTATCCAGCTACTCAAAGAAAAGCAACTTGAAACCACGAAGTAACACATTAGACTGTAATGATATCCTATTGCATGTCATCTGTCCTCCAGTGGCATTTTGAACCCCCAGAAAACTACCAAATATTGCTAGGAAGCTCATGAGGGCATACCTGCACTGTAAAAGGATTTTTAATCAATCAGTAACATGAATATCATGGTATTCAAAAGTCATATGTTCCCTTAAAATGATATTATATCTATTAATTCAGGTAAGGATTTAAATATCCATTAGAAAATAATCAACTCACCAACATCCATTAATAAATAAAAAACTGCTGAAAGAGGCAGTTCCATCACTGTCTTTTTCTAGAGTTCAGTAAAATTTATTTTTTAATACAGGCCCAAACATTTTTAACACTTACATTCAGCCTCCTCAGGGGCGGTATATGCTGCTGCCAACATAGCACCACTTCCTGACAGTAGGTGAAAAAAGAAAAAAATGTTAGACTATGGTGGAACAAAAAGTTTTAGTGTTTTGATCCATTTTCCCAAATCCAAATGTTATACTAATACATCAGATAACACAGCTTTAAGAAAGAGGCAATGATGTTTTGAATCACAATTGATAATCTGAAATTTCTACCTGCACCCCTCTGCAGAATGCATAGGAGCTGAATCTTGATATTCAAAGCATACTCATTATAGGGATGAAATAATCATTTAAAGACTGAAAACACAGGATATGAATCTGACAATACCATTACATTTTAAAGAAAAAATTCTTTCAAAGTTCTTCCCCCAAAATTGTGTTCAAATACTAGAAATCCTTAAGGTTGCAAGCAAAGGTATCAAGGAGCCAGACTGCAACCACTTCTTACTATGATCTCGTTCATATGGCTGTGTTGGAGAGCAAGATAAAATAATTATGACTACATAATTTTAAGCACAACCTTCTACGAACAAGCCTACCAGTGAGATGGCATTCTTACCCTTTTGGGTGGATAGTAAGCTGAAGAAAAAGTGAGGAGAAAGGAATTTGGTGGAATTTTCCTTTTACTCTATGTCCTGAAAGATCTGTGAATGCTATGGCCTTGTAGGTTCCTTTTGGAAACACACATAGAAGGCAAGAGGATCTTAATCATGTCATCACCTCCTTCTTCAATTTATGTCTGCATTTCAGTCAGATTTTGCACCTATTTCAACAGAATATACTTTAGCATAAAGAGTTAATGTACTAAAACAACTCAGTGATCACAGGAGAAAATGGAACTCTAGAGTCATGTGAAGTAGCACTAGTGAAGAAAAAACATCAGAAAATCTGATTAGTCAAGACACTTAGTGGACCAACATTATTAGATCCACAAGAGGAGTACCATTCATTTGTACATTTGATTTGAAAAGTGGGAGCTGTTCTACTTAACCCATCTCATCAGATGCTCGGGACTAAACATGTTAATTGGATACATTATAGTAAAACAGATTATATCAGCTCTTCGTGCACTCTTAAGAGAACCTATTTAGCTGTAAAAGCTTTGTTTCTTTTACTTACTGTAAAGAACTAATAGAAGACAAACAGTTTCACAATTTCTGTACAGAAACCCCTCCCACAGTTGAGCTATTTACAACTGCTACCAGAACAGATCTTGCAGCTAGAGATGCTGCAACATGTATAGCAGGAAAAAAACAATGGCTTGGAATAGAATTCTAGTTCAGGAGGAGAGCAAAAAGTAAGGAAAAAGTTGGAGACATTATTACTAATATTTTGAGATCTTTTCATATGCAGAATGAAACAAGGTTTTGAGGCACACACAAAAATGGCAAAAGCTCAGAGTAAAGGTGTTGACCACTGGAGCTCATAGGAATTACAGTAGAATTCCTACGAATAAAAGAAACCCTGAGAGCCCCAGCTGAAGTGTTTGCCAGCAACATACCACATTGTCCGAAAATTCTCAAACTGGTCCAATTATCAAGGGCAAATTATACAGGCATCATCATATGGGGAGAGAGTCAATAAATATTTTGCAAATAGAATGAAATTATTCATTCAGAAGTTCACAAGGAGATTGAGACCTTCAGTTGAAAGAGGTTAGGGAAAAAATTCCATTATATCTTTTGGCAATAGGGCACTGGTAACACTGTAACACTCATACATAACAAATGTCACTTTGAGGAGTGACTGGTGCTCTAGGAGACGGGGCTTCTAACTCAGGTAAATGCACCTGAGAATTTTGCTCAAGGTGAAGCTAATACGTGGAAAGATTGTATAACCAAGCTAGAATAGAATTAACAAAAATACAAGCGTTCCTTATTGAAATATTAGAAGTTTTAAACAAGTCAGGATTTCCTAGGACTTTAGACAATCCTCAGAAACAAAGGAATTACACTACTTTTCAAGCAGCTGCTGTTGATAATGTTTCCTTTTACATCTCCACTTCCAAGTTTCAGCCCACACTGCAGCAGGGACCCTCTGCTGACACAATAAAATACTTGATTCAGTATTTTCTTTCCCAATCTTTCAGCTGACCAAAGCAGCTTCTAAGGCTAAAATGACTCAGCACTGTAGTTAGATAACATTTTCTTCATTCCTTCCTAAAGATCAAATAACACAGACAGCCATTCACTTCTTTCAGGCTCTTCAGCAGACTCTTTGCAGCTATCTGGCTCTCCTGAAGTACCAACAATTCAGTTTTACTGGGTTTCAGAGAAGAATGAATCAAACACTGATATTCAAAGAAAGGAATCTTCTTCCGCAATCTTTATTTTCTAGGAAGAGTCTGACAGAAATTCTTCATTTCTGGCTTTTGTGCCTTTGTCATCCAACTATATTCCTAAGCAAAATAAAGTCTTCCATTTTCAAAATTTCTAATCTTTCAGTTTCATTAACAAAACAGTTCTGCTCCAGAGACAGGGAAACCAAGTCACAAGAAAGGTACTGGCTAAGCAAACATACCCAACAGTCACATCTTAAGGCATGAACTGAACTTAAATTCCTGAAGTTAGCACTCAGTGTCTTCCTAACCATCCTGTTCAGACCGCTAATAGTCCTCCACATCGTGATGTCATACCTTCATCTTCAGCAAACAAGTTCAAAGCTCCAGCAACCAAGATCTGTACGTATCCTTTGCATACACTCCCACTGGCTCTCAGTTATTACCTCTGCTGGAGCATCCAAACACGGCTAGCTATTTTTGGCTGCTATTTACAGCTCCAATGAGTAGACTCTGGTGAGTACACCTGGTAACGCTGGCTTAGAACAAGTCTAACTCAGACACACAATACAAACAGGAAGAAATGGAGAGAGAGCCTGAATGTTATTGATATAAGATTGTATTCTTACTAGGCTAATAAATACAGTGTCTGCTCATTCCTGTGGGTGTGTGGAAATCTCATTTCACAGTGTCACATTCCTGAAGAGCACAGTTGGCATAATCCAGATAACACACTTTAAGCACAACAGCATTACCCTGTCTTTTTATAAAATAGACTTTGGCAGACTTAAGAAATAAGTAGAGAAAAGTTAGTCTCATGGAAATCTGCTATCTTCAGTATTGAGGATGGTTCAGCCACCACCATTCCTCCAATCAAGGCCAGCCTAATTGCTTTGTTTTTGTGGGTTCTTAGGGGATAACATTACTATGAGTCCGAAAAAATAGAAACACTGACTGTGCTGACTTTTGATCAATCACCACCTACCCTAGGAACGTCAGACCTTTTAAATGTCTCTTCTTTGCCAAAAATTAATGAGCCAAGAATAAGTACCAGAACTTGGAACCCACTCTGTCTCAGTTGTATTCAATGCCACAGCCACACTGGAGGATGAGGAAAGAAAGAAAAGAAATGAAAAAGAAAAGCAAAGATTGGTAATAAACGCAGCATGACTTTTTTTTTTGGTTCATTTTTCAACATGAGCGACTACTAGAACCATATGAAACTCCTGGTGGCCAAAGCAAAGCTAGGTCATTTTAGGTTTTATTGAGTAGTTTCAAACAGATTCAAAATTAGGAATGAACAATAAACAGCTCAGCATTTCATATACAAGGAGCCAAACAGAAAAAGTCAGGAAAAGGAGCTGGCTTTGTATCATACCGGGCTGCAAAAAGCAGCTTCTGAAACAGCCCAAATTAGCCCTTAGTTTCCCTTTGAGTGTTTCATTTCATAGGTCGTTGTGAATTTTCATGAGACCGCTGTTGCCCAGAAGCCTTCTGCAAATTCACCTGTGTGCTACCAAAGTGCTCTAAAAGTCATGGCTTGCTTGCTTTAAACGGAGCATCACCTCAGACACATCAAAGTCTGGATGTCTGTTATATTACTCACCATCATCTAGCATTTTAATTACCATAAGCCTCACCCAGGGATGCTGGTTTTCGATGCTCTAAGACGCAGAAAAGTCAAATTCATCAGATGGAGATTAGATACAGACTTAGCTTCATTACTTAATGCCCTCAGTGGATGGGACGTATGCTGTATGCTCAGAAAGTCACTTCCTACACTGAATCTAAACCAGACATTTTGCATCTTGAAGCCAGATCCTGTCCCAAGCGTCTGAGGTGAAGCCCAGACCTCCTCACAACCACGATGACAATTTCAAGCCTGCATTGTAGGTTTCCGCCTTCAGAACACCACTTCATTTCTGACATTCCACCCAGAAGGTCCCGGTGCACCACACCGCCTGCAGAACCCAACCGACTGCGCTCTTCCCGCTGCATTCGCTCTGCCTGAGAGCCACACATCCTCTGCTTTAGGGCCGGGAAGAAGCCGGGACGAGGACTGGCTGTTTCCCCGCCCGGCCGTAGGGCTCGGCTCGGCCCGGCTCCAGGAAAGCAGCCGCGCGGTGCTGAGGAGAGCCGGGCGGGCGGGAAACTTCCAGAAGGTGCTTCAGGGCCAGCGGGGTGCATGAGTGTGAATGCAGTTTTGGGGCACGGCTGGACAGCCTTCCCTCAGCTGAGGAAAAAAGAAGCCGTCCCTCAGGTGGCAGGAGAAGAGCTTTCGTTCAGGTGAGAGGAGCTTTCCCTCAGGTGACGAGCCAGGAGCCGTCGCTGTGCTGACAGGACAGGAGCAGCCCTGCGCGCGCCAGGCTCAGCGCCTGCTGTCGTTGTGCTGAGGGCGAGGTGGGGCGGTTCTAACGGACTCCTTCACTTCTCAGGGCTGCCGGGGCAGCCGTACCTCGAGCAGCCTGGCTGAGCTGTGGCTGCTGCAAGCTTTGCGCTCCGTTTATGCTTTTAATGGGGGAAGAGCAAACTCTACCCGTCTTTCTGACATTTCTGTAGTTCGGATGGGGTTACAGAGGCAGGTTACAGAGTTACAGGCATGGCGTGTCCTGGTTTTGTACAGGGGCCTTCATCGGTGATTCAGCGTGCACCGCTAGTGGGGAGAAAGGGGCTGTGGTGGGAGACGTGCAGTCATCACCCAAGATTTCCTTTGCTGAACTGTTGCTTTGCAGACTTAGTTGCCAACACCACATGGGATGATGCTGGAGATGAAGGAAATCACCGTGTTTAGGTTTTTTTCTGGCGTTGCTTTTAAGCTGTTTTCCTGGGGCTTCACAGGGACAAATGCACTGGGCAATGAAAGGCAGGTGGACATCTGGCTGCAGGCAGGGAAACTGAGGAAGAGGTTTCTGTAATCAGTGATAATTTATGGCTCAGAAATCAGCCTCTGATTCCATCCCCAGTGTGGTTTTCTTTCACCCCTCTTACTTTCTTACAAACACATCTACATCCAGATAAAAGCTTCCTTGTAAGTTTTATTTAGAGCTTTATACATGTGATGGAAAAGCTTTAAATGGCAGAAGCAGAACCAGCGTTGGATCCAGGCAAGTTTTGCACTCACCAAAACAGGTCTGAGCCAAATTTAGAAGTAGTGCCATATGACATGCTCCTGGGGAGTGGGGCTGGCTGCGGGCCCAGATCTGACAAAGATCTTTTGCACATTTTTATCTTTATGCGCTGTGAATAGTCGCAGTGATCGTTCTGTCAGCCGGAGGTATTAAAACATCATCAGGCTGGCCTGTAGGACTTAAAAGATGTGGTCTTTACCAGAGAAAGTTTTCTTTTTTAAAAAAGGGTATTTTTTAATTTGCTTTCTGTTTATCGAGCCTTGAGGAAACATCTGTGTCATGTTTTCCAGTCTTTTTTTTTGTGCAATGACAGCACTAGAAACTTTTTTTTTCCCCCCCAAAATGAATTCTCCTGCAGGTTTATGACTTTTAGAACTGGGATTTTAGGCAGATGTCATGCATTTTAAGATTCTCAGTATCTGGTTTTGAGTCACTGAAGCTCTTAAGGCTTGCAGAGTCAGGGCCTTGGATATAACTTCTGTAGAGCAAGAATTATAATTGTACTGTGGCTAAATGATGCATGCATTTAGGTATCTGCTTCAGTCTTCTCATTGTACCAGTTTCAGTCCCTCACACAGCCAGTTCTGTTCAAGCACTAGTGACCTGAAGATAATTACAGGCCAGTGGTTGATACTCTTGCCATGCAGAAATCATGGGGGGACTGAGGTAACAAAGAAGGTGACAGTCTGATTTTCCTTCATAAAAACTTCCTACACGCAGCACAGGTGTCTTTTGGAAAAAGCCAGCATACCCACAGCTCTGAAAAATACTAGGGAATATCTCCAGATAACAACCAGACAATTAAATGCTGTGTGAATGAGGACAGCATAATTAGTGTGTGGTTGGAAGCAACAAGATACTGGCATTCAAAGCATAATATTGATGTATTTTAATTAAATATTAGAGCAGCTTAGGGGCTGACATAAATTGTTGGCAGTGAAATAAAGCTATATACAAGAATGTTTGTTTTAAAAACAGCACTTAGCAGCCCTGGCTGAGATCAGCCAGTACTGCTACAAGATTGTACAAAAAGCATAATTACATAGCTTCTTTCCCAAACATCTTGCTGTTTTAGTGCAACAGAGGGTGAGTTCTACACATTGAGAAATATAGCATAGAGAAAGCAATTTCTCTCTCATATAACAAAGTGTCTATGGGAGAAGATCTGAATAGAAATTTCAAGTCTGAAGAGTACACTTCAGGTACAGGAGCATTTTTCCTTATCACTTTTGTGACAATCCATATTGTTACTTTTATTGTGTAATACAAATAATTTAGTTTCACTGAAGAATTCAGTTAAATAAACATTTACTGTATTTTGTTTTTTATTTTTTCACAATTTGTCTCTATCCATTTTTGCCTATGAGTCCACTGCCATAATTATATATGTCAATGGTAAAATTACACTTGGTTGTCACAGAACTAAACAATGGTGTTGCTAACTAAACTGGGGCACGTTTGAACCTGGACAGCAAATGTTGTACACAGTTTGAGTTTCATATATTAAAATTCCTAGCTGAACTATTAAAATCTATTTTCATAAAAAGTGAGTGGACAAACGGAAATGAAAGCAGGTTTGCCTGACTTGCAAGAAACAGATAAACAGTGAAGCAGAACTCGGCCAAAAATCCCCTTTTCTGTGGGCAGTGCTGTCAGATAAAGTTAATGAACTGTCAAAATCATACTGTGGCAGCATCTATGTCTTTTCAGACCAGAGAAAATGCATTTTCCTTTGAAATACACTATTTTTAGCCAATCTCTCGAAACTAACTGTTTACAGATTCTAATTACTGATTTTCCCATGCTTTCCCATGCTGATGCCTTCTTATATAAATCCTTCTTCTGAGGGGCGGGGTGGGCTTTCAGCATCTTTAAGGACACAGTGTTAGTACAGCCCCAGTATTGTTTAGGTCTGTATAGGCCTTGGTATTTCATCATATATAGCCTAAAGTTCATTTGGAAAAGGTGGCTATTGGGTTAAGCAAGTGCTATAGGAATGAGGATTAAAAATATTTGACCCCATAGATTTTCGATTTCATCAGATCCCTTGTGAAGAGACCCATACAAGGTTCTTTTCAACCACTGAAAAGAAAGCATGAGCATGTTTTGAGTGTAAGTCATAGTCTCTTTCAGTATAGTTTGCTCTGTGTAGACAGAAGAGTCATAAATGTTTTCTGGGACAGCGTATTTAGTTTAATTGCTGCTTCACTCAACAAGACCCTGATAAAACCCATAATAAGCAAAGCAACACTCCATAAGCTTTTTTATTGTTGCAGTATATGGGGATTCCCATTTGTCTTGCTGGCATTATTTATATGAAACCTTCGGCTACATACAGGTTAGGGCTTAATTTCTGAATTTTATGGCCTTCCCTGTGTAAACAATGCTCCATATTGTAGTCATTGTATTAAAACAATTGGAATATGATCCCATTGTAATTTTATATAATGAACTTGAGGAACGGTGTTCTGCTGTTACTGTAGGGTGGCTGTTGCTTGGCATTTTGGCATATATACTTACATATGCACACTTTTAATTTGGGTTCGGCTACTTGCCAGCTTAGCATACTAAGATATTGATAATGGGAGTAAATTTTACTCCTACAGTATAATTTAGTCGAATAATGTCATCAACCCTTTGACCTCAGGCCTTTGGGAAACACGTTAAGCCATAGCTCATGGCACCAGTAGGCAATTTTGAAGCCTCTGTAGAAAGTCCAACCCAGTGTTTCTTGGGGCACTGAAATACCATGACTGCTGGTGTGGGTATGGAGCCAAATACAGCTCTCTGCCCAGAAAGCTGCCGTTATTTCTTTGTGTGTGCCAGAGGCAGAGGTGAGTTCAGAGTTAGATACCTGCTGCAGAGTTGCAAATACTGTAATTCTTGTCATTTTAGCTAATTTCTCTAATTTCAAACTTGTAAATAAATGTAATATTTCCTTTCTCCATTTGTTCAGCAGAATTAGCTTCTCAAACAAAAGATTCAGTTTTTCGCTTTGCAGACATTTTTTTATTACATGGTGGCAAATGTTTTCCTTATTGTGAAGCCTGGATAACCTAATCTGTCCACTAGGTTTTTCTGCTATTCAGTTTTGCATTGCCCTTACAACCAGGAAAGAGCTTACTACTTTAGGGAAAACTGACTCAAACTTGCACATTTTAGATCCAGAAGTTTTTGGTTGTCTAGAGTTTCATGCAGATCTGTCTTAAATACAAGTTAAGTGTACAAGTTATTTCTTAGGTTGCACAAAGAGAAGAGTTACAGAGAAGCAGCTAATGTTTTCTGAAGGATTTAGAAGTTTGACTTTTTTCCTTCTCTCTAGCACTTTTGCATTAAAAATTATGAGAATGAGTACCAAGCAACTCGTTTCTATATAACTGATGATGGAAAAAGCAGTGAATTCAGGATATGTTGCACTTGCAGTTAATATGTTAACACTTTTGTCACTCAAAATTGAGGTTTAGCAGGAGAGTGGTGAGAAATTTATTATTTTTATTTTAAGTAATGGAAGTTACTTTTGTTTTCTGTTGTTTGGATTTAGTTTGGGTCTGTGAAATAATTTTATAAAACTAATAAAAGTGTATGCAAAGATTGATATATTCAATTTAAATCTCATCTCCTTATAAACTGCTTTAATATAGATGTCTATGCAGGCATGTTGATTAGTATTTCCTCAGATGTTGATTTCATATATGCTATGCCATCTGCAAAAAAAAAAAAAAACCTTCATAAATAATTTAGTAGTTATTTAATATGTACATTTGGAGGAGTCTTGCATTTTGATAGACAAATCTCATCGGTATTGCCATACTGCCCTCTGGAGTACAGTGACAAAACATGCACATGACAGAAGTTTCATAAGCGTTTGCATCCACGAAAATCAGCATTGGACAAGGAGAGGCCTTGGCTAAGCTTTTTGAAAGGGAGAATGAGAGTGCAGTGTTTCACTTCACTTAGCCCAAGGTTTTTTTGGGATGGCTCCTCTCCTCACTAGCTGCATATTACTGTGAAGGCTTTCATCCCTGACTAGACACAAAAGTGCCTCTGAGATTAAGATAGATGTGATTGTTGTAATAGCACCTCAGTGCTTGTTTTGAAATTCTTTAGTGTAGCTTTTAGTGTTTGCTTTAGGAGCAGCAGCTTGAGATTTCTAGGGAA